TTCCCCTGATGCTGCCTGGCCTGCTGTGTTCCTCCAGCTCCACACTTAGTAAAATACCTTGTTTTTTGCAATTAGTCTCTGCCTAACAATATAGGCAGTGTATAGTGAATGATCCCAAAACCTGTTTGAGCCCTTGCATTTGGTTCCATTTCGCCTTGGCTTCTGCACTTTACTGTTTCATTCTTTCTCTCCCCGTCACAAGTTTAAATATTCCCATTAGTTCTGAGTGGGCTAGAGTTTGCATTAATGGAATAATGCTTTCTCTGACCACTTCATGTTGACTATTCCATAGTTGGGTTGTTTTCCTGGCTCAGTTAATATGCCAGTACTTGCTCCCGGAAATTAGACTTGCTGGAGCTGGTGGCCATTTTGACCATTTAAAGTAACCTTGTATTCACACAGCAACTTGCCACATCTTTTGGGTCATTCCAAAGTGCTTCGAATCATCAAATTTGTTTTGAAGTGTTTGTGCTGTGTGGGTAAACACAGAAGCTGATTTGCGCATGCCATGGTCCCACAAATACCAGCAGATTATTCAGTCTGTTATTTGCTGAGGAAAGGTTTGACCAGGAGAACTCCCTCCTCTTAATATAGTGCAATGGATTGTTCCCATCCACTTGGTGGTGGCATTTCAGTTTAATGAATTACACAAAAAAAATTCACTTTTTGAATTTGTATATATTTGTATTGTATTTGTATTTACATAGAAAATAATTGACTTTTGTTCATTTATACAATGGTAATACAGCAGTATTTCACCCAGTTTTATTTTGAATGCTGTATTTGTCAAAGTTTAGTTGAAGTGTCATCCATGATCCAGTTGACAGCACTGCCTCAGTCAGTAGGTTGTGGGTTCAAGACCTCAGAGACTAGCACATAATCCAGACTGCCATGCCTGTGCAGCTCTGGGGGGTGCCACACTGGTGGTGCCATCTTTCAGATGAGATGTTAAATCAGTTTCTTTCGGTTTTACAACCGAGCAGGGTGTTCCCCGGCTAACATTTATCCCTCAACCAACATCACGAAAACCTCTTTTTGCTTTTAGAAAAGCTTTACTGTGTGCACATTGGCTGTCACATTTTCCTGTTCTATGACAATGTCTACAAAAATATTTCATTGGTTGTGAAATGCTTTGGGATGTCCTGAGGTTATACAAGCTGCTGTATAAATTCAATTTATCTTAATTAAAAACCAAAAGAACTGTGGATGCTGTAAATTGGGAACAGAAACAGAAGTCGCTGGAAATGCTCAGCAGGTCTGGCAGCATCTGTGAAGAAAAGTCAGAGTTAAAGTTTTAGGTCCAGTGACCCTTCAAGTTCTGAGGAATGGTCACCAGACCTGAAACATTAACTCTGATTTTTCTTCACAGATGCTGCCAGACCTGCTGAGCTCTTCCAGCAACTTCTGTTTTTGTTGCTATCTTAATCTTTTCTAGTTTCCATGACCTGTTTCTCTAAATTTTTTTAGACTTCTTAGATCTGTCTTGTAGCAATTCCTCACTTGCTCCCCCTCTCTTCTCAACCCTCCCTAGCCATTTCTGTGGCTTCACCTTCCTTATCTCTAATCTCCTTCAACCCCATAATCCTCTGAAAAGTTTTTTGCTCTAATTCTCTGACCTTTTATGCATTTTCCAACAACAATTGCTGCATCATTAGTAACACACCTTCAGACACTTGTACCCCAAGCTCTGGAATACTTTGCCCAATCTCTCCATTTTTATACCTCACTTTTTCTTTTTAAGAAATTCCTTTAAAACCTTCTCCTTTTGAACAAATTTTTGGTCATTGACCTGCCTTGGTGTCAAAATTTGTTATGTAATTGGCCCTGTGAAGCACTGTGGGTCGTTTTTGTTATATGTAAAGGTGCTATATAAATATAATTTGATGAAATCAAAGTGGGGCTACTAACTCTGTTGCCTTGAAAAATGCTTAGACTTTGGATGAGCATATGCTGTCTGGAGAAGTGATCAATACCAAAGAGTTATGGGGAAGCCGAGAAGCATCAAATCCTAAGAAGTTGCCACAGGTATAAAATGTTCTTTTGTTTTCTCTCTTTTTTTTTTTAACTTGATAATTTGTTAGATAATTGCCTACCTTTTTTGTTGCAGGCAGGGTGGAGTTAGAAATTAGATTTCTTAATACTGATATTTGAGTATTCTGGGGGTTCTCAATTTTTCTCACTCGTGATAGCTCCCCGTAGGCGTCCAACCCAGCAGCTTTCAGTATCTTCAACCAAGTGGTCATTTCTGTAATACACCTTGATCAATTTTCCTGCATGTAGTATGATCGTGCTAGGAGCTATCGTAGCCAAGCCCATTTCATCACTTTCACCCAACACCTGCGCACATTCCAATCGTGACTCAGAATAAGTTTTTTTTTCCCTCCCAGGAGAAGGGGCAGGGGGTGGGAAAGAACAAAAGGGAAAGCTTGTGTTAGTGTTTGAAGGCAGGATGGATTAAATGGCAAAAAAAAATTGCATTTGTTGATCATAGAATTTTATGTATGTAAAATATGAAAGATGACTAGGTAACTTTTTCATGTCCCCTTTTTAATGTTCCTTTTTTCTTTCCTACTGTTCAAATAAAAATGATATTCGTGAATCAATATAGTATAGCAAAGGTACCAAAGACTGAATATGATTTTGGGAGCTATAGCCTTTGTCAAGCCAGTTGTTTTCTGGTCTGAATTCGGTGTTGGGTTGCAGCTTTGTAACTGAGTGCAATTTCATCTTTTTTATGTCCATTCCCTACTTAATGTTGACAATATGTTTCAAATATTGTTGGGATTTCACCTTTTGTCTGTGATTTCCACCACTGTATTTTTGAATCCTCGTTTTAACAGCGCTTTGTTTCTATTCCAGATGTTTTTGTTGTTTAAAGCTGTTGGTAATTCAAACACCATGCAAATAATGTGGCTCCTGTTTAAACAAAGCTATTGCAGTGTTCTCTCTCTCCTTTATGTCTAATGTTTATTTTGCTTGCTTTCTGTTATAGTCTGACATAAGCACTAGTGACATTGAAATGAATGCTGGCAATAGGAATGAACAAAAAGAAAATGTGCCACCAGTACCTTTGACCAGCACCCCTCCCCATGCAGAACTGCAGAAGGTATGTGAGGTCAACTTGAGTTGGAATGTTTGTGTTAATTGTAGGGACAATATAAATATATATTTGGGTTCTTTTCTCACTGCAGATCTGTTGACTTCCTAATTCCAGGATTCCACCAGTTTGTGGTTTTATTGTAGTGTCCAAAGTGTAACTGGAGATCATTTTCCACCTATTGGTGAACAAAGAGGCAACTTTGTCTTTCTAAATAAAACACCACCTCATTTAAATGCTAAATTTGTGAATGAGGACTTGTCAGTGAGGAAGGAATTGATCACTTGATTGATAGAAATTAATTAATTTTGCAGTATTATGGTTGTAGATTGTTTCCTTTTATGGAAGGCAGAAAATGCAATGTCTACCTACCACTCCTATAATAACTACCCTCAGCTGGTCAGCCCAGGTTCTGTAGGATCAAATAAAAGCAAAATTATGTGGATACTGAAAATCTAAATTAAAAACTGAATATGCTGGAAAAACCCAGGTCTGGCGTCATTCGGGCAGAGAAAATCCGTTGATGTTTCAAATCTGATCTATGGCTCTTCTTCAGCACAAGTTCCAAAGAAGAGTCTTTGGACTCCTGTTATTTCTGTCTTTAAAAATAACCACATGCTTCCAGTTGCCTGCCACTTCAACACACCATCGTATTCCCATGCCAACATTCTGCCTCAGTGAGGCTCAATGCAAGCTGGAGGAACATCTCATCTTCTGCTTAAGTAGGTTTTACATCCTACAGGACTCAACATTGAGTTTAATGATTTCACAGCATAAACGCCACCTTCCATGTACATTACCACAGTCCCAGGTCCTGTTATGAAATAGGTTGTGTTCAGTACAGCCAACTTATTTTCAACTACTCCATCGTCATTATCACCTATCTAGTTTCTCTTTTTTCCCCCCCCCCCCCGGCTTACTATCAACAATCCCTTTGTCTGCTAACTGTTCTTTCTCTGGACTCCAACCCCACCTATCCACTCACTATTCCTTCCCCTTCACCACACACGCGCACGAATACTACCTTTTTCCTAGCTGCTTTCAGTTCTGACGAAGAGTCACTGGACCCATAACGTCTGTTTTATCTCCACAGATGCTGCCAGACCTGCCAGGTTTCTCCAGAAATTTGTTTTGTTTGTTATCTCTGCTTCTCTGGTTATCTGGTTTACACTATACATTGCAGCCAATGGAGGGAAAAAATGAGCATCTGTAGCCAGCTGCATCCTACTGTCCCAATATTTATTAGGCAATTACTGTTGTGAGGAAGGGTCACCGGACCTGAAATGTTAACTCTGTTTTTTCCCTTCGCAGATGCTGCCAGACCTGCTGAGCTTTTCCAGCAACTTTGTTTTTGTTACTGCCCAATGCCTGTTGAGTGTGCATGTTCGAACCAAATCCACTTGAACAGCTGTAAAGTCCCAGTGCATCATTCTTGCCAAAGTTGCATTAGTTTTGCAACAGAAGCCATCCATACTTAATTGTTTGATCACATTATAGTTGAGATGTTAAATGACTCCTTTCCTGGTGCTAATTACATGAAGTTGAAAGATGAGCTATGCAGTCAGATCATTGACTGGAACCAGATCATATATGCTTTTGATTAGAAGAATTGTCATGGCTCAATTCTTGCTATGATTCAGTTTGCTATTGTAGTTGACTATATTTTGAGAATCCTGTTTAATTGAACCATTATTAATTCCTTCAAATCCCTCAGGAGATTGTTAGTAATGCAAGAATAGTGTCTTGCTAAGTGACCTTTACTCTGAGATGTCGGTAATGCTGACGAGCCAGCATTTATTGCTCATCCCTAGTTGTCCTTGAAGGTGATGGTGAGCTACCTTCTTGGACCGCTGCAGTCCATTTGCTGTAGGCACACCCACAACGTTAGGGAGAAAGTTCCAGAATTTTGACCCAATAACACTTGAGGAACGATAGTGTGTTTCTTGTGAAACTGCCATTCCTAGTTTGAATCTTCATCCTTTCGAGAGACAAACCATTGAAACTTAACGTCTTCAAATTTCTTATCGATACTTCCTCTGCCCAGAGGTTTAAAGGAGGCTGTACTTCAGTTTGAAAAACTGCCAAAGTTTTAGATTTATGAACCATTTCAGGTATTTGCAAAGCTGGGTCTGGCATTTTACCCCTTTCTACCAAAATATGGGGACAGAAATTAGTGACATGGGCATTTTGCTCAAACTTCACCAGAGCAGCAAATGAACTCTTGTACAAAATCCTTTAATGCTGTTTCATTATCAATATTTTCATGCCTGTGTTGGACATTGCAGCTTCACGAATGAAATTGCTCTTGCATTTTTTTTAGGGGTCTGTGGTTGAGACATCGAATGCTTGGAAAAATTCTACTTATGAGAAACCAGGAAATAGTCAAGGTGAGCCTCTCTGTTCTAAAGGTATGCCACATGCATTTCCTCCATGTATTGGCCATGCAGAGTTGCCCTAACACTTGCAGATGGATGCAGTGGTCCATTTAGCTTAGTTTTGCTTTCATTCATTTTGTCGTACATAATTGAAGGTGAATGCATTACATGTGTGTAAATCCATTTCCAGCCACTAGAGATTTCAATGCTACGTTCACACTTCAAACAGAAAATCAAACCAATAACAATCCCTTCTTATCTGCACTAGTAGCTTAAAATCACTCATTTGAAATAACAGCCTGTATATTGTTTGTTGGTTTGGGCTTAATTCATGCTTTTAATCTTTTAAAATGAACAGTTAATGTGGAAAATGAAGAAGGGACGCCAAAGCTTTCAACTCAGGGTATAAAGCAACAGAGATCAACTGCAGAAATACAAAGTAGTCCAGCCAAATCTGTTAAGGTAAGTATCTCTCTTGCACCTGGTCAATCATTGTCTTGTTTGGTAATTCATGCACGTGATGCTCAACTTTACAAAGCTGAGGATTGGCAGAACTAAAGTTGCATTTCCTCTTTTGATGTATTTAATTTACTTTCTCCTATTGCTTTCTTCTGAAAGATCTGATCCAGACTGTATTGTTGCCTATAGTTATAGCAGTGCTCCCATCGCTCCTCCTAAGTGGCCATTCTACATGTGTGAACCTAGAAGTGGCAACCAAGGGATAGGTGGATTGAAGGTTGGAGAGAAAACAGTCCCAACTAAGCCCGGACCTGATTTCAGGCATTGCCATGGCCTCTTTCAAAGATGTGTTGCTAGATGTGATCAAGAATGGGAACCCTACTCAAAGTAGTTTCTCTAGTCTGTGGTATCACATTTATGTTTCCTGCTTAACTTTGCATTCAAGGAGACTGGTGTCTGAAAGAGCTCGCTGTGTTTGTACTACTAATATCTTATCTTGGTGCCAGAACTACAATGTTTTAAGTCTTCCCAAGCCTAATCACCAGGATAAGGGAAGCTGCTTTAAACAATGTAAACGGCTGCTCTCCCTCAATCTAAAATGACGGCCACAACGTGAAAACAGCTTGTATCTATTCTCACAGCAGGTGGCTGGCAGTGTAGATTTTTCTCAGGCAGTGGGTGCTGAGATTGTAGAATATGATGAGCTGATGTTTCATCTGTGGCTCCAGCTGGTCTGCAAGGAAGGTGGCATTCGCTGTATCCTAGAGAAGGTCCAAAGAGGGATTGAGTAACTTCATTTACACACAGTAGGCTATTTTCTTAAAGGGGAAATTCAGTACCCCAGAATATATAACCACAATTTGAAAGCTCTGTCTAATGTTTTCTATTAAAAGCAATTCAGTATGTTTTTAAAAGCTTAATGTACAGAATGTTTGTATTTTTTTTGGAGGAATTAAACTTCAAAATTTAGCTCTCAAAAATCAAGAGTAAGAAGAAAAATTTGAAGAGTTGTCTAATCCCTGGAACAATAGACTGATTCAGTGTGATTAAACATTTGTGTTGCTGTTTGGTATATTGCTGTTTAATCTTATTTCTTTGCCTATTTTTCAGCTTCTACTTCCTGTTCCTGAAGTATCCCTTTTCTCTCTGCATTCCTCTGTCTCCAATATGAGGTTCTGTTTGTTTATTTTTAAAAAGATTCACAACTCCTTACACTTGTTTATGTGAACAAAAAATCTAAATCAATGTTGCCTTTGTCTGATCATAATTTATGTTTAAAGTACATAACTTATCTGAGCAGTATTGATTAAAATCCTGCGTTTCTTGATTTGAGCTCAATGAATTTTTGGGAAGGTAAATGAGGATTATAGTGTCCGCCAATGCAAGTTTGCATTTAAATCATGATTTCCCCTGGGTGTGAAACAATTGTGGACAAACTGCTTAACAGCATGTGGATGACCCAGTGACAGGTGTCTTATCAGTGCTACTCTCTTTAAGGTTTGGAGAACTTGCAAGAGGCTACATTTATCAATTTTCAATTGATCTTCATTCCTATTTACTTTACTCTCTACTTTATTTTCTGCCTCCCCTTCTGAATTGCCAATCTTGCATTAGAATTTGACCTAAGTTGATATTTCCAAGGTAACAGATTTAAAGCATTGATATTATATATTGATCAGTAGTTTGGTGCAGATGCCAATGCCAATGCCAAGAACAACACTTGGTAGCTTTATATGCAAAATTTGCAGCAGAACCTGCCCCTCAAGGATTGGCCTTTTCAACCATCGGCAAAAGTAAGTCATCTGAAGACCACCCCAACTGAAACAGATTGTTTGTTTATTGTCTGTCCATCATTGTTCATAGATGTGAGTTTGCCAGATTGGAGGTCTACACGAGGCCATGAAGGGGCATCACTTCTTATCTCCATTATTCACCGGCTACCAAAGACCTTTTTTTTCCTCCAAATTTCCATGTTTTCCCTCTTCCAGCTCCCATGTTATTAATTTAAGTTTGAACAATAGCGCTGATGTTAAGGAAACTGGAGAAAACTGGCAGATGGAGTTTAATTTAGATAAATGTGAGGTGTTGCATTTTGGAAAGGCAAATCAGGGCAGCACTTGTACAATTAATAGAAAGGTCCTGGGGAGTGTTGCTCAACAAAGAGACCTTGGGATGTAGGTTCATAGTTCCTAGAACGTAGAGTGGGTAGACACTGTGATGAAGAAGACGTTTAACACAAAAACAAAAGTTGCTGGAAAAGCTCAGCAGGTCTGGCAGCGTCTATGAAGAAGAAATCAGAGTTAACATTTCAGCTCCAGTGACCCTTCCTCCGTTCTGCTGAGCTTTTCCAGCAACTTCTGTTTTTGTTCCTGACTTACAGCATCCACAGTTCTTTTGGTTTTTAAGACGTTTAGCACACTTGCCTTCTTTGGTCAGTACCTTGAGTATAGGAGTTGGGACATAATGGTGCGGCTGTACAGGACGTTGGTTAGACCACTTTCAGAATACTGCATTTAATTCTGGTCTCCCTACTATTGGAAAGATGTTGTTGAACCCTTTCCAGCTTAGAAAAGATTTATAAGGATGTTGCCAGGGTTGGAGGGTTTGAGCTATAGGGAGCGGCTGAATAGGCTGGGTTTTTTTTCCTCTAGAGTGTTTGGAGGCCAAGGGGTGACCTGTTATAGAGGTTTATAAAATCATAGAATCCCTACCGTGTGGAAGCAGGCCATTCGGCCCAACGAGTCCACACTGACTGTCCGGAGAGCATCCCACCCAGACCCACCCCCAATCCTATCCCTACAAACCTGCATTCCCGTGGCTAATCCATCTAACCTGCACATCACCATCATCATAGAATCCCTACAGTGTGGAAATAGGCCCCTTGGCCAAACAAGTCCACACCGCCTCTCCGAAGAGCATCCCACCCAGACCCATTCCCCTCTAACTCACCTAATTTACACACTCCTGAACATTATGGGCAATTTAGCATGGCTAATCCATCTAGCCTGCACATCTTTGGACTGTGGGAGGAAACCGGAGCACCCAGAGGAAACCCACACCGACATGGGGAGAATGTGTGGAGTTTGCACAGTCGGCGGAGGATGGAAATGTACCTGGGTCTCTGGTGCCGTGAGCCACTGTGCTGACCACCTGAGGGGCATGGATAGGGTGAATAGCCAAGGTCTTTTCCCCAGGGTGGGCAAGTCCAAAATTAGAGGGGTATAGGTTTAAGGTGAGAGGGGAAAGATTTAAAAGGGACCTAAGGAGCAACTTTTTCCACACGGTGGTGTGTGTGTGGAGTGAGCTGCCAGAGGAAGTGGTGGAGGCTGGTACAATTATAACATTTTTAAAAGGCATCTGGATAGGTATATGAATAGGAAGGGCTTAGAGGGATATGGGCCAAATGCTGGCAAATGGGAGCAGATTAATTTAGAGTATCTGTTCGGCATGGACGAGTTGGACCGAAGGGTCTGTTTCTGTGCTGTACAGCTCTATGATTCTATAAAACATTTAAAACTAAATCGCAGAAGTACTTGTCTGAAGTTGCTGACTGTCTCCACACTTGTTTTCTCTGTATGATTTGTTTTGAATAAAAATCTGTTTGAATACACAACATAGTGTTGTTTAATTCTAACTCAAATGTTTTGTCATGTCATGTTTTGAGAATGAAAGGTGCAATGACAGCAAGAGACATTAAAGTGACTAATGAGTCTGCTTTTTTTTCCCTAAATTACTACCAGAAATTTCAGCTTCCAGCTAGAGAGTTGTGTGTCACCTGCCAAAAGACTGTCTATCCAATGGAGCGTCTTGTTGCAAACCAGCAGGTGTTTCATAATTTCTGCTTCCGCTGCAGCCATTGCAACACTAAGCTGAGGTGAGGATTCTGGTTTCAAGTGACTCTGGGTTCTACATTATTTTTGGGTCCAAGCTTTTTTGATTTGCAAACCATTTTGAGCTTAATTTTGGGTATGAAATGACTAAATTATGTGTTGAAAGGTTTCTGAAGTGTTCTTGCCCTGAAAACTGCTAACCCCCTCCCCCACACTACACCTCTTGAAACCAGTAGCTTGGTTAGTAAAAGAACCATGTGCAACCCATACGGAGGCTCAGTCTCTGGTTGATCCTCAACAGGCAGCAGAACCTTGCAGCTGACCTGCTGGGTTCCTACTTGTGATAATGCCACATTTTTCTCAGCAGAAGTTATTGGTTTGTGTCCAATAAAAGAGAGCAGGATTTGCCTTGCTGTAATATACTACCCATCCCCTGCCTATGCAGAGAATTGTATAGTTTCCTAACAACAGTCATAATCCAGACTGCTGGATTTCTTTTGGTAGGCATTTATCATTATTGTCATCCCATGATGGTATCCAATAGACAAACAAATAGTGTAACTTCTTCGTAGAACACGGCAGCACGGTGGCTTAGAGGTTAGCATTGCTGCCCCACAGCGCCAGGGACCCGGGTTCAATTCCACCCTCGGGCGACTGTGTGGAGTTTGCACATTCTCCCAGTGTCTGTGTGGGTTTCCTCTGGAGCTCCGGTTTCTTCCGCAGTTCAAAGATGTGCAGGTTAGGTGGATTGGCCATGCTAAATTACCCATAGTGTCCAGAGATGTTTAGGTTAAGTGGGAATGTGGGAAATGCAGGGGTAGGGGAATGGATCTGGGTGGGATGCTCTTCACAGGCGTGGTGTGGACTTGTTGGGCCAAATGGCCTGTCTCCACACTGTAGGGGTTCTATGATTCTTCTATGATGAAATCCACTTGGAGGATGGTAGACTGTACAACTGCACACATTATAAATGACCAGTTGAAGCCTTCTCGTGCACGCTTTAGCCTTCAGAAGTTTAAACGTTCTTAAATTTCTTTTGCACAGCATTGGGAATTTTGCTTCACTACATGGGAATGTGTACTGCAAGCCACATTTCAGCCAGCTCTTCAAATCCAAAGGTAATTATGACGAGGGATTTGGTCATAAGCCACACAAGGAGCTGTGGATGGCCAAAACTGAGAGTGACACTACAGAACGCAAGAATGAAGTTGCCATGGATAAATCTGAGACCAAAACTGAGAACTCTGGAGTAGATGAGCTTTCCATACTCAAGGTAGGTGTTTTGGCTGCCAGCATGGAGGCCTTAGTTACTAGTACTCCACCAGAAAAGGTGGAGAAACCTGTCGAAACAAGAAAATTAAAAATAGCTTGGCCACCACCTAATGAAGCAGGTAGTAAAGGAATTGGCTCTTCTGAAGAGAGCCTCCGAGTTAACAAACCAAAATGGCCTCCAGAGGATGATTTCCAACACCTGACCAAGAGAAACTCTGAATTCATTGGTACCTCCAGACTGAGACGAAGCGCTTCTCTGAAAGAACGATGTAGACCATTTACCATTGCTGCACCTCTGAGACCTATAGCCATTAAAGAGCCAGGAAGAAATCCATCTGCTAAAAATACAACACAGGATCTGATCATTAAAGAAAGAGAAGCCAAAAGAGAGACTGATGAACGGAAGAATGAAAACGAGTCAACTCTGGAAAATGAGCATGAGCAACCAGTGACTACTGAGCTCGAGGGCACGCAAGAAGATTTGGTGACTGAAAAGGTTGTAGAAGTGAAAAGCAACAAAAAGCTGCTTCAAGATGAGGATGTAGAGGAACTTCACCTCCACAAGGAAGAGGCCAGAGAACCTGACTTTCTGGAGTGTGAGGAGCAGGAATCCAAACAAAAAATGGTTGAATCGCAAACTTCTGGAGAGACACGTACCTCAAATGAGCACATTCCAGAGAATGAGAGAAAACTGGAAGATATTGGTTTTTGGGATGGGGATGAAACTGAAGTGGAGGGAACTGCGGAACTGTCAGTTGAAGAACAAATCAAGAGAAATAGATGTTATGAAGATGAGGATTAGAAACTGTGGGTGATTTACATGATATTTTAATTGGTGACTGGCCTTGTGATTCATGGGTGTCAGCTCAGAACTTCCTGTTGTAAAGTGGTTTATTCTAAATACCTGTATTGATATGAACTTTATCAACATAAAAGTAACTAACTAATCAAGCAATTAAAAGAACAAGTATGGAATCATGGAAGGTAGTGAAGTTCTAATTCAAGGGCATGAGGTTTTATCTCATGCCGTTTTTTTTGTGTATCGTCCACTATCTAGGCAGGAGGGATTAGATTTCAAAAGACTCTATGTAAAGAAGTTTTTCTAAAAGTTATAACTAAATGCCATTCCACCTTGTATCCATGCCACTCCTTTAATGCTCCCTTCACATAGCCTGTTAATGTTTTATCATATAAAAGATGGATTGAATTTATCAAGAAATAATGGAAGCATTTAAGAACCAGAGTGTGTACACCTCAAATGGTAGTGGAGCAGAAAATACCTTAAGCTGAAAACAACTGGGCATCTTCTACCTCGTTGCCACGCACTTGCCTACACATAGACCCGAAAATGGCAATTTAGTGAAGGCTTGGTTCTGAGATTTGAAAATGGAGTTCATCTGTTAATGTCCTTAATCCAATAGATCATTCAGTTGGCAAAACAGGGTGGTCCCTACATTGCAGTAGCAGAGTGACAGATTGATCCTGACTCTAACACACACTCTCTGATCAGCCTTAATTTAACAGACTTTCCAATTGTATAGCTGTAAAGATCCAAATATCAGAGGGAAGATTTGATGGATCGATATTATTAGAGTTATGGAATGTTTGAAACAACAAAGATTATTTACTTGTTTTTTAGAATAGTGTAACTAATCCCGGTAAGATGAAAATGGAAGCATTAGAATAACACCACTTTATAACAATGTTATAGGCTGTAAACCTGACTTTAGTCTTCAAACCTTGTAAATTCCTACTTCTGGCTTTATTCTTTACCCTTCAGTGCTGTTTTAGAATTTCTTGTGTATTGCAGTATGATTTTATATGTGAAATTGTTTTTACATATTGATAGCATGTGAGGGACAAGACGCTGCTGAAAATAGTGATTTGACTTTAGTATAACAATTTTAGATGGGATGGGCAATAAAGAATTGGGCAATACATTTGTGCTATGGTGTCTGGAACAATGCAATTTTAATCTTTGATGAAAACAAAAACACTGCTCAATACTGAAATCTCTCTTGGTGTTGGATCTATCACCTCTACAGCCTTCTGGCACCTGATTTGGTCTAAGGTGATTTAAGTAGCACAGACAGTCATTCTTCTTATTGCAGTAGACTTGATATTTAAATCGTGTTTCTGACTTTACTGCAGATATGTAATGGCCCTGATGTTCAAATCAATCCAATCAATCAATCAATCAATCTCTCTCAACTCCTCCTCCTCTGTTAATTTATCTTCTGGCTGTAGAAATTTTAAGATGTTAACCTATTAATCCAGGTTAGAATCCAACCCATGTCCTAGCAATAGATGGATGGATGCCTGTTGCATCCCTTGATCACTTGCCCATTGATTCTTGTGCAAAGAATCTAAGCAATTTAGAAACATGCAAAATCATTAAATGCAGAGAAGTTATTATGTAATAAAAAGAATTACTTGACCAATGCTGGCTGTTGACTTTGACTTTCTTTTCAAACTCTTCTACAATTGTACATTGGATTTGTTGTGATTTCTGTTTGGCTTCTAGTTAATAAACTCTTTAAAAAGACATTAGTTGAATAATCTTTTATACTATGTTCTATTTTGCATCCAGTGAAACTAAATTAACAGAATTTGAGAATATGTGCACTGCTAGGATAAGCCTTCTTGGTAATGTACAATTTGCTTTGACCTGATGATCATCATCACACTTCACACCATATATACTTACACCACAGAAATCAGTTTAATGTTTTTATGACTAAGATACTCATCACTACTTTGATTTGTATTCAAGCTTTGGATATACTGTTTATTTTTTAAAAGAGCTGTCTGGGTACTCTAAAGATAATCATTAAACAGTTTTTGGTGATCTTGCACCATTCCATTTTGATTTTGGGCTTGTACAATTCCTTTCAGGAGAGAGATGCTTTACTGATAGCAGGTTTGAATGCATATTTGTGTGCACCATTCACTTCAGCAGACATGGTCAGTTTTTTTCATGGGAGTAGGGGGAACACCTTTCATGAAGATGAGGGTTGCCACAAAAATAAACATGAATTTCTTCAAACAAAAATTCAAAAAGCAGTAAATTGACGATTTGTGAGTAATACAAATGACTATTAAATTGCTCAACAGTGAAGCCTAATAATTAAACTACTTTTTGCCTTTTGGGTTACAAAGCAGAGCTAGAGAATAAGAATCCATCCCAATTCATGTTTACCGAGGAAGGGATTGGCATTCGTTGCCAAGCCACGAAGTTAGGTTTAAACCTGACGCTGAGCTTGGGCCACTTCTGGTGGGGCAAATGTGGAGCGGGCTTCAGTGGAATTCAGTTGAGAGCTGGAGTCTGAAATGATTTGACTTTCAGCGTAGGGTTTTCTCCTCTCAGCCTGCCTTCCCACCCTTTCTTGCTCCCCTTTGTCTCCCGTGAACTTATCCCGTTCTCTCTCTCGCCCCTTTCTCTCTTACCCCTTGGTCTTTCTTTCTCACCCCCACCTCCCTCTCTATGCACCCCCCTTCTCTCTTAGCCTTCTCACTCTGTCTGTCTTACTGCCCCCTTAATCTATACATGGGGCTCTCTGCTCCAAATATTTCAACCAGCACAATTACCCCACCAGCAAACATTTTGTGTTGAAATGAAAGTGGCCAAGTATTTTTTTTTTTCCCCAGAAAAGCATAAATGCAATTTGGTGAAGGCCAGTTTCTATAAAAGTAAACTGAAAGAAAAATTAGTGGGAGAAACGTGGGAGCCTGACTATCATTACCTTCTCACAGTTCCCCTTCACCATCGACTCTCATTGCTCTCTCCACGTGGTGTGGTTCTCATCTCCTTCACCCTCCCCTCTCTGTTCCTTGAACCACTCCCACTTCCTATTCTCTCCTACATTTTCATCTGGTCATAGCAACAGTAAACCTGTAGCAGCACACATAGGAGAGCAAAGGAGGAGCAGCTCCTTGCAAAATCTTCTACTTGTACATGCCTGTAGATGAAACTCTGGCTTCAAATAAACAAACCAAAAAAAAATTGAGAAACAAAAAGCATGTCACTTTACATTTTTTCTAGTTCATGATCCTTGTGTTGTTATCTGGCTATTAATTATGGGAACTTTATAAATGAGCTGTAAATTCAGCTAGCAGTAAAACAGATGTTGGGCTGCATGTAGCCACCGGCCATAGGCTGAGCAACACTATACTCCAAAGACCTGAAACAAAGAAATTTTCTGAGCTGTAAGGAAAGAGAGTAGAGGAGTGGGACATTCTAGAATAGTACTTTTCAAAGATCTCACACTGAAACAGTAGACCAAATGATTACTCCTCTTTCCCACACCCTACTGTCTCAAAGATTTCCTGTATATATTTTGGCCACAATGAGCGTGATGTGTAACAAAACCAGGAAATGTGAAGAACCTGGCTGGATTGTGACAAGGACAAATGCCCTCCCTCTGTTTAGTGTTGAGGGTTTTTTAATGAGTTGTGCAGTTGATGTGATTCACATGTTAATCTTCAATGAGTGCAACACTTATATAATGAGTACCAAGTAATTATTTCATCATTACTATCAACAATCTGATACTTCAGAATCGGCTCAGAAAAGTAAGTGTAAATGATGTAATAGTTTGACTTAGTTTGTGCATCTTTGCAACAAAACACAACTTCTTTTGGTTCTGAAAATCAAGAGTGGGTTGGAGAAGCTCTTCCTGTTCATAAAAGAAAAGAACAAGAGGTCAGAGAGTTAAAGTGATGGTTAAAGTGATGGTGCAAGTGAAGCAAGGATGATCTGAGGGAAAATAACGTTCTCCCCCACAATGAATAATTAGGGTATAGAATGCACTGCCTTGAAATGTAGTGGAGGCAGGTTCAGTTAAGACATTAAAGAGGCCATTTGTTATGAACCAGACTAGACTAGACCCCATCAAAATATTTTAAGGTAGCTTAGACCCTAATGTTTTCTTATTTTAAAGGTAGATGTGAAGTGTTTGTTCCAGATGTGATGTGACTGGTCAAACTACTCGATGTTAAACAAAACACAATTTATTTAAACACTATAGTTAAAATACAAACAAAAGAAGGAGGAATTTAGAATAACTTTACTGGAAAACTCAATAATAGATATAGTACCTACTACTAATTAACTGTTCCAATATAGTAACATCTCATAAACACTCCCTTGGCAAAAAGGCAAATTCAGGTGCAGATTCTGACATGCACTTCTCCAATCCAGGAGGGAAGAAACATCAAGAGAACTTCCAGAGAAAGTAGCAGCCAGGAATCATTTACTGAAGCTTCCAACTCTTCTGAGACCCTAAGGAGCTTCTGACTGCTTCAGCTTTAAAAAAAAACTAGAAAGCCTGATCTGTGGGAGCTGGCCACTCCTATTCAAGCTGCTTCCATTATTGCAACTTCCTTAACCAAAAATCTAAAGGCTTCTAAGTTGTTTACTTACGATGTCTTCAGTTGCCAGTTTTCACCTCTGCCTTTACAACCCAGGACAAAATAACCTTTTTAAAGTGACAGCATTGTCACACATTGGATAACTATTTGGATAGAATGGTGTGCAAGGGTATGGGGGAGAAATACAGGAGATTGGCACTAGGTAATGATGCTCATTTTAAGAGTTGGTACAGGCACAATGGGTAGAATAGCCTCCTCCTCCTCCTCTCCAGAATCTCATAATTATTATGGCAATGTTAAACCAGACTCTTGATCAGGCACATTTCTCACTCTCTCTTCTAGTCCATTGGCTTATCCATTGAAGCTTAATCTTACATGCAAAAATTAAATTCCATGCAATTCTATCTTATGGAATTCCTAGAGCGGCGTGGTATGTGTGTTAGGGGGATCTTAGTATGTTTCTCATGTACCTGCTGCCCTTGTTTCTCTAGGTGGTAAAGGTTATGGCTTTGGCAGGTGTTCTTCAAAGGAACCATGGTGAGGTTTGCAGTGCAGTGCTGCTATTGTACACTGGTTGTGGAGGGTTTTGACTTAAATGGGCTGCTTTGTCCTGGATGGTGTCAAGCATTTTGTGTTGGAGCTACAACCATTCAGGCAAGGACTGGTATTCCCTCACATTCCTGACTTGTACCTTTTATAGATGGTGGACAGGCCTTGGGGAGTCAGTAAGTGAGTTACTTGCCCAGAATTCCTAGCCTCTGACCTATTCTTGTAACCATGGTATTTATGTGGCTGATCCAGTTCAGTTTCTGATCAATGGTAGGCTTCAAGATGTTGATAGTGGGCGGTGATGATCCTAATGCCATTGAACATCAGAGTGATGTTAGATTCTCTCTGAGATGGTCATTATCCCCCTTTGTGAGATGCAACTGTAATCTGTCACTTATCAGCCCAGGTCTTGCTGAATATAGACACGGGCAGCTTCTGTATCTGAGGAGTCATGAATGACACTGACCATTGTGCCAACATCCCCACTTCTGATCTTTATGATTGAAAGATGGTAACTGAAGTAGCAGCTGAAGATGGTTGGACCTAGGGTACTTTCTTGAGGAACTCTTGCAGCGATGTCGTGTGTCTGAAATGCCTGACGTCCGACAACCATGACCATCTTCCTTTGTATTGGATGAGGCTCCACCCAGCAAAGAATTTTCCCTGATTCTCAATTATTCCAGTTTTGCTAGGGTTCCTTGATGGCACACTTGTTCAAATGCTGACTTAATGTCAAGGGCACTCACTCACCTTTATCACTTGAGTTCAGCTCTCTTTCGCCCATATTTGGACCAAGGCTATAATGAGATCCAGAGCAGAGTGACCTTGGTGGATCCTGAACCAAGTGTCAGTGTGCAGGTTATTGCTGAACAAGTACTGCTTGATAGCACTGTTGATGACCTCTTCCATCACCTTAGTCAAAAGTAGACTGATAAGGTGGTAACTAGTTGGGTTGGATGTGTTCTGCATTTTGTGGATGGGACATACTTGGGCAGTTTTCCATATTACCAGATAGATGTTAGTGCTGTAGCTGTACTGGAATAGCTTGGCTAAGGGTGCAACAAGTGCTGGAGTACAAGTCTTCAGTACTATTGCTGGAAATGTTGGTAGGCCCTGTATATTTTGCAGTATTCAGTGCCTTCACCTTTTTTCTTGATGTCACATGAAGTGAAGCAAAATGATACATGCCTGTATTCAATGAGGCTGGAGACCTCAGGAGGCTAATATCTTCATATAGCACACAGCATATGCTCCCAATTGGAGAGTTCAGAGTTATGGCCTGTCTACACTCCCATGTGTTATAAACTCGTGCAATTAGAGTAGGAGTGATGCTACCCCATAATAGAAAGAATAAAACTGTCATATTTACACAACTGCAAAGTGTTACCATTTATTGAATTTCAAACCGTTTCTGGTCCACATTAAACTTTCTGCAATTATGGGTGTATACTGCAGTAATTAGTGCAGATATATGTGCCTATGTTTGAGCAGGCTTAAACTGTGCTTTGTCTTGCCCTTTTGTCTCTTTATATAGGGTATTTGATTACACACTTGCTGCCTGTTCTATAAATGCCTCCCATAGTGCAATAACTTCATATAACATTGTAGCAGGCCAGCCCAGTTTACAA